AAAGGAGCGGAGAGAGACCCTGCGGCACCCCACAAAGGAGGGGCCGAGGATGGGACCTCTTGCTCCCTATCACCACTGTTTGGGATTGGCCCTGAAGAAAGGAGGTGAACCAACACAAGACTGTGCCGCCCACCCCCAATTCCCTGAGTTGTCCCAACAGGATACCATGGTTGACGGTATCGAAAGCCACTGAGAGATCAAGGAGAGCAAGGGTTGTTGCACTTCCACCATCCTGCTCCCACCAGAGATCATCCATAAGTGCGACCAATGCCGTTTCCATTCCATAACCAGACCTGAAACCTGACTGAAAAGGGTCCAGATAATCCATTTCTTCCAGAACCCTTTGGAGATGTGATGCCATCACTTTCTCAACCACCTTCCCCAAAAAGGAGAGGTGGGAGACTGGACAGAAACTGTCCAGTATGGAGGGTTTCTTGAGGAGGGGGTGCACCAATGCCTCTTTAAAGGCAGCTGGAAACACTCCCTCCCGCAAGGGTGAATTAACTATCGCCTGGATCCAACCGCATGTCACTTCCCAAGCTGCTTTCTCCAGCCAGGAGGGGCATGGATCCAGATGACAAGTGGTGGCCTTCACAGTCCAGCAGATCCTGTCCACTTCCTCAGGAACAACAGGATCAAACTGTTCCCAGATAACTGGGTAAGAACGATCCCCTGGTATCTCCCCGGACCCTCCACCATGCTCGGAGTCTAACTCGGAACGAATCTGAGCAATTTTATCCTGCAGATGCTCTGAAAATTTCTCCACGCGCCCCTGCAAAAGAATCCCCAGAACCCCCCTACTGAGGAGGGATCTAGTGATCCCAAAGAGGGCCACCGGGAGGCACTCTGCAGACACGATAAGGGCGGAGAAGTATTGGTGCTTTGCTGCTCTTATTGCCACAATGTAGGCCTTGATAGCGGCTCTAACCTGTGTTCGGTCGGATTTGGTCTTTGTCTTCCTCCAGCAGGGCTCTAGATGTCTCTTGACCCTCTTCAGCACCGTCAACTCTTCCGTAAACCACGGGGAGTGTCGGGGCCGATGTGGCAAGAGAGGTCGCATAGGCGCGATCCTGTCCAAGGCCCCGGCTGCCTCCCTGTTCCAAGCAGCAGCCAAGGCCTCCTCTGGATCGCGCGGCAGATCCACAGGAATACCCCCCAGCTCCCTCTGAAACCCTGACGGGTCTATCAGGCACCAGGGGCGGACCAGTCGCATGGGTCCTGCCTTTCTGCAGAGGGGGGTGGCATAGGAGAAACTCGGGGTCACCAGGATGTGATCTGACCATGACAATGGGGGAAGCTGTAAATCTCCCTTCAGATCACTTTGTCGTTGCTCCAACAAGAAAACCAATTCCAGCATGTGGCCACTGTCTCGGGTTGGGTCCCGCACAATTTGAGACAGGCCCATGGCTGCCATGATAGCCAGGAACTCCTGAGCTGCCTCCGAGGTCCGTCCCAGGGATGGCAAGTTGAAGTCCCCCAGGACCATAAGTCTAGGGAACTCCAACACCAGCCCCAGGATGGCCTCCAGCAGCTCAGGCAGGGAGGTTGCCATCCAGCAGGGAGGCTGGTACAGTAGCAGCACTCCCAACTGTTCACAGGACCCCAGCCTAAGAAACAGTGTCTCACAGCTGGAGACTTGTGGAGCAATGCCCCTGAAGGCCACCAGAGGCTCTCGGATGACTACCTGATCTACGTAAGCCAGAAGGTTTAATAGTAGGTAGGCTCAATATGAACTGAAACATCCTTGCTGACTGTACATTTTCCAATTCAAAGAAAATGGGGGTGGGGGGGCAGGGAGAGATTTACTATTCTTATGCTGATAGAAAAAGTTTTGAATTGCCACAATCATGTTTTAAAGTATAATATCTCAGTAGAATTGCTGAACATAAGATAAATTCTAAATGATTGTGATGTATATAATTGAGCCATCTAAAATATAATCCATTTGACTTCATTACTTTATCAGATATACACTATGAAAAAATAAAATTCAAATTTTTACCTTTGCAGTTTGTGATTTCATGTTAACAGTTAAATCAGCCTTAGATATGGGGTACTAGAAGGCTTTTACAAAAGCTTTCTGTCTCTATATAGATCAGTAGACCAGACTCTGTTCTTAAAGAATGGCTGCTTTCAATTGCATTGTAGCTGGAGAAAGTTGTTGAATGCCAGCTGCATGGCAAGTAAAAGAAGGATTGTATCTGCTTGCCTTATTAGAGTCAATAGTAACTTAAAGTAGAATTTTAGAAAAGTTCTGAGCAAATCTGGGGAGGCAATCAAATTTGAAAGCCATTAAATATTTTTAAATACATACTAGACAGGCAGAAACTATTGGTTATCTGCTATGAGTCTTACATATGAGCCTTACAGGGCAATTCCTAAAAGTCTAAGGTATCTCAGGGAAATTCCTATTCATTGAGGAAAATATTCAAATCTGAATAAATGCAGAGAAAATGAAAAGCACCTCAAAAGTATTTTGCTATTTCTATCTATCAAGTGGGCTTGAGAAGACCCATAGTCTAGCAGAGTTTGACAGAGAATGTTTGACTCCCCTGCCTGTATTATATAGTACTGTATAGACAATTTTAGTGTTAACAGTTCTTCAATTTATGAGCCTTATAGAAAATCAGTGTACTGTAGCACAGATTTGGTTTTTCACAATAGTAGGTAGAACTGGAGTACATAGACAAGAGCTTCAAGCTTCCAGTATAGTCCCTCTCCTGCATCTCTTACAATCTACACTACATTACAGATTTGGTTGGCAGGAACTTTCTTTGGGGCAGAATTCAATGATGATTTTCCATGACTGATAATAAAGTGATTTCTTCTCATGCAGTGCCAGAAAATATTTTCCCATCTCCCCAGCAATCTACTCTATGCCTTCAAAATCTAGGGGAGTTCTCCAAACTCTAAAGAGGGTACCACATGTTTAGTGGAGTATAAGCAAGCTCCAAGCTTTTATTTGTTCTTTTCTGTTCCAGCACATTTGCTTCTAATGCCAACTAATTGCAAAGTTGATATTTTAACAGAAATTGAAATTGCATATATCTTAATATTGGCTTGTTTACAAATTATAGTTTAAGCCAAAGTTTGTGCCTATTCAAGTGGAATTACAAGTTATTTGAAAAGGAAAGCAGAATTTTGCAAACATTTACTCAAAATCGTGCTAGAACTATAGGAAAGCCCATCCTATTCTAAATTGGTTCAATGGTGTATCCAGATGAAATTGCAGTTAGAGCATTAATGTTTATTTAGCCCTTCTCAAAGGTTTTGGCATATTTATAATTTTATATTATTGTGTCAGAGAATTCTGTCATTCTAATGATTAAATACTTGATCTGTTTAACAAAACACCTTTTTTTTTGGCTTTTAGCTCATCAGTCTACTCAGCTCATACCTGACAACTATATTAAAAATGGCTGCTAGTAAGGCAAAAAGTCAAAGCTCTCTTGCCCTTCACAAAGTAATCATGGTTGGTAGTGGAGGCGTTGGCAAATCAGCACTTACCCTTCAGTTTATGTATGATGAGGTAAGAGATTTGTTGCCTTTACATGTATTAAAGTAAATTACATCAAAATGATATATTAGAGGGTCTGCACTAAACTGCTTTTACTGTGCATTATGTGACATAAATACAACACCATACATTTGTAGAATATTGTTCAGGAAGAGAAGTAATTTTATTCTGTTTTCCCTGTTAGTGGTTCAGGTTAGATCTCATGTTCTTATATATGTGAAACATTCTAGAATAATCAGTAAAAATAATATGTCTTTATAACTTTCTATCCTTGAAAATAATTCTTTTCAAAACCAGTACACCAATTCATACATTTATTCTTGTTCTTTAAACTTCTCACTTCTCTTTTCTTAAGACTCTAATCATCTCTATCTCTGGTTTTTCCCTTCTTCTCAACACATGCCCCTTTTCCTTTATTTATTTATTGTGTGGCGGGAGGACTACTGGACACTAAGTAATACATTCAGTATGTATCCTTGACCTTATATTTCTTGTTTTACCTTAAACGCTTCTTAAATAATTTATTCCTATTTCCTTCTACTTACTTTTAAATTTCTCCTGACATACTCAACTCTTATTTTCATATAACGAAATGGCAGAAGTTCTTAAACAGAGCCATATTTCTACATTTTTCCATGTATACTACATATTCCTACAGCATTACCATTTTCAACATTTTAACAGCATCTATTACTTCATTTTCATCCATTTTTTCTTGGACACTAACATTTTTAGCGTTCATTTCAATTCTAGCCTTGGACATATCATTGTAATTATTTACATTCAAAATTGCTCTGCGTTGTCTTTGCCTTTTTTATCTTAACCATTCTTTGCTTTCTTTGATTACATCCTTTCAAACTTTTGTTCCTGTCAATATACATGATATTTCTCTTGTTCTCATTTTTGCAGCAGTCATTCTCTTCTATGCATTTTTCTCATCCATAGCTTCTTTCGTTTTATCATTTTTCTATTATACCTTTTTCATGCTTCTCATTATCATATAGTGCATTCGGAAAGTCTTCGGACCCCCTTCACTTTTTTCAATTTTGTTATTTTGCAGCCTGATACTACAGTCGTTCAAATTAATTTTTTTTCTCATTAATCTACACTCAATACCCCATAA